AAGTTAGTAATTTGATTCGTTATTATAGCGAGAAATTAGTCGTAGGATATGGGACAAGGCATGTATCTTCAAGAAGATCAATCCGAGTGATGAAGAATCGACTTGGGTGTGAGCTTGTGAGGATTGTCACAAATGCAATCAAGTCTATGGTAAAAAAAAACATAATGAGAGATATAACATGGTTCACCATTTTAAAAGATGGTTCATACTCTTGTGGAGACTACTAGTCCACTAGTGATAGTCTTTGTTTTGGAGATGGTGAAAGAAGTGTTGTGCATTCGTGCATCTAACCAAAGGTTAAAAATGAGTACGAGAATGATCGAAGTGTCTTTGTTGGATCAGCTTGTTTCCAAATCATAATACAACAAAATTGTGAAAACAGAAGAAAAGACTTGTGTTTATTATTGAGGATATTCTCAATTTCTTCTCAAAATTGTGGAAAAAAAAACTTGTGTTTATTCTCAACAAAACTGTAATGGAAATCTCAGTTTATTTGACTTCAAAGATATCTTTCATTCTCAACCAGTAGTTTATTTGACACTAGTTATTTACTATTTTCAGTATAATTCATTTTCTTGTGGTTGAATGTTAAGTTAAAATACAATTTTCGCAGGACTTTGTGTTTTTGAATTGAGTAACATATTTTAAATTTTTTTGTATATTATTGGTAATTAATTGATCTATTAATGACATTCTATAATCATGTATATAGTGGTGAGGTTTACTGTTGAAGAACTTACACAATACTAATTTTCATACAGAACTGATTAAACCAAAATAAGTTCTTACACAGAATCAGAGAATCTGTCTGGTATATACTGTAATAGTTTTTAGTTGCTAAAAATTAGAGATTTTTGCCAAAAATGCCATTTGTTGGGAAAAAAATTCAAAAAATGTCGTTTAATTCAGAACTTTCGAAAATATGCCACAATTAACTGTTCATAAATAAAAAATATATTTATATCCTTAGTTATGATTTCATGATATACATTTTCGTCCACGATGTTATCGTATTTGTC